CCACGCAGGTAGCTGAGACGGTGAGGGTGATACTTCGCGAATACAGACTCACATATATCGCTTGCCACCGCCCGAATAATATCAGTGTCTCCGTTGTGTAGGGGCCGCAAAAACTCGTCATGAAGAAGACGGTTGCTTACCATGGGGATGCACCATAGCAGCCAGTCCCGTCTCGCCTGATCCTCTGACCACAAAGCTGAGTCGTAGGCCCAGCAAGGGCAAAATTGCTCAAGGTGGGACATCAAGTAGCTTCGGGCTGATAATGCCCTTCTCTGCGCAACTCGGTCATCACCTCGCTGAAGTCCCCCGTGTGCCGAATGGAGATGCTCCAGGGGGGGCAACGCACGCTCCTTTGAATTGAGAGCTTGGCTCACCCGTATGGGCTCTAAGGGTGCGTGCCCCCCCCATAGAACGCCGTTGGTGTCGCCCTTCGTCTGATTGTGAGGGCTCGAGGCCCTGTACACAGAGTCTGACCATTCCACGAACAAGGGCTGTGAAGCCGCTTCCTTCCCCAAACTGGAAGCAGTCCAGCCGTGGTACCTATTGGCAACAGAGCATCTGGTATTGTCATGGGTACCTGATGCTGTCAGTCGCGGAGTACAACCTGGAGCATTGATGGTCCCATCTCCAGGGTGCTGACACCGCTTGTACAAGAAATGATGATACTAGCCGGCCGCTCTGCGGTTGATCGGGAGTTTCTGTATATAGAAGAAGGTGCGTGCGCTTGTTGGCGAGGGTGAGGATGAGGTTCCTCCTCCTCCTCCTCCTCCTCCTCCTCCTCCTCCATCCTTCTCTTGCCTCCGTCTGTCCTCCTCCACCCCGCAGCTCCATCATCTTCTCCTCCTCCTCCTCCTCCTCCTCCTCCTCCTCCTCCTCCTCCTCCTCCTCCTCCTCATTCCTCCTCTGGGCACCTCCCCCGGGGCGCGGATCCACCGGATCTGTCCGGATCTGTCCGGAAACGGTGCCGGAGGCCGCTCTGGGCTCCTCTGGGCACCTCCCCCGGGGCCGGTTTTGTGAGGATGTCTCAAGCGAGGGCGCCGGTTTGGGATTCGTCCCCGGATCCAGCGGATCCGTCCGGATCCGTCCGGAAACGGTGCCGGAGGCCGCTCTGGGCTCCTGTGGGCACCTCCCCCGGGGCCGGTTTTGCGGGGATGTCTCAGGCGAGGGCGCCGGTTTGGGATTCGCCCCCGGATCCAGCGGATCCGTCCGGATCCGTCCGGAAACGGTGCCGGAAGCCGCTCTGGGCTTCTCTGGACCCCCGGGGCCGGATTTGCGGGGATGTCTCAGGCGAGGGCGCCGGTTTGGGATTCGTCCCCGGATCCAGCGGATCCGTCCGGATCCGTCCGGAAACGGTGCCGGAGGCCGCTCTGGGCTCCTCTGGGCACCTCCCCCGGGGCCGGTTTTGTGAGGATGTCTCAGGCGAGGGCGCCGGTTTGGGATTCGTCACCGGATCCAGCGGATCCAGCGGATCCACCGGATCTGTCCGGAAACGGTGCCGGAGGCCGCTCTGGGCTCCTCTGGGCACCTCCCCCGGGGCCGGTTTTGTGAGGATGTCTCAGGCGAGGGCGCCGGTTTGGGATTCGTCCCCGGATCCAGCGGATCTGTCCGGAAACGGTGCCGGAGGCCGCTCTGGGCTTCTCTGGGCACCTCCCCCGGGGCCGGTTTTGCGGGGATGTCTCAGGCGAGGGCGCCGGTTTGGGATTCGTCCCCGGATCCAGCGGATCCGTCCGGATCCGTCCGGAAACGGTGCCAGAGGCCGCTCTGGGCTCCTCTGGGCACCTCCCCCGGGGCCGGTTTTGCGGGGATGTCTCAGGCGAGGGCGCCGGTTTGGGATTCGTCCCCGGATCCAGCGGATCCGTCCGGATCCGTCCGGAAACGGTGCCGGAGGCCGCTCTGGACTCGTGCTCTTCGCGCCGGGGGTGAGGATGACGTGAGTTCCACAGAAACTCCCTCAAACGAGTCGTCAACTACCAGGTCCCGAGGTAGAAGTGAAACTTGTTGACTGGGTCTTGGCCGTGCTGTACCCGACGGCGTGACGCCACACTGCTGCTGCTGAGGTATTGGCCGTGTAGAACCCAACGGCTTTGTGAAGGCAACTGTCATTGATCTTTTCAAATCAAGGCTACAACTGAGCAGACCATCAGGAGCTGCGCGTACTGGCTGAATTGGCACAGTATCACTATCCAACGACGATCCAATCTTTGAATTATTCACATAGTAGTAGGTCTCCTGCAGTCCCCAGTAGACCTTCTTCTTCTTCTTCATGGAGCTGTCGTTCACAGGTCTGTATCCGCTCTGTGTTCGACAGTCTGAAATTTGCTCTCGGGTGTGGCACCCGTCGGCACCAGGCTGGCTCCCGTTTCGTCGGTAGCGGAGCGCCTGGCGCCCCGAGCCTTCTGTGGTGTGCTGGGTACTGCGACTGAGGCTGCTGTAGGTACCGCCGTCGATGCCGCCGCCTCTGGACAGAAACCAGGTTGCCGCAGGGAGGCCTGCAGCCTGGCAGCAGACTCCGCCGCTTCCGTCCGCTGGATCGCATCCAAAGCTTCCGCCTCCTCTACCTTCCTCACCGCTTCTAACGCTGCAGCCACCTCTGACCTCTCGTCCTGAGAGCTGAGGATCTCGATCGGGGCGGGAGCCGTGACCGAGTGGGAAGGTGCTGGAATGAACTCCGCCTCGATGGGCTGAGTCGGCGAGATCTCGATGGACGGCTGGGCAGATGGCTGCGGGGTAGGCGGCATCCCCCAGAACTGAGTCGGGCCCATAGCCCCTCCGCGTTCCCACATAGACGCAGGCACTGTCGCTGGTTGTGCGGATGGCGACTCCTGGGGCTCCGAAGCAGGAGGTGTAGGAGACAGTGGCGGAATCTGTGTCGGCGTCAGTGGTGTAGCTGAGTCGGGCGTAGGGCGAGGTGCCAGCCCCGCTGCCGAGAAGCTCGCCCCTGGGGCTCCCGTGGGTCCTTTTCCTGGCTGATGCTGAAAAGGATTGGGCCCCACCTGGTAGGGATCGGTCTGGGCCCTGGAGAGCTCCACGCCTTTGCCCGACTTGCCGCCCTTCATAGCATCCAACTGCATCGCGATGTCGGGGGGCAACCCTGGAATCTGCTGCTGCTGCTGCTGGTGAAAGATGGCTGCGGCCTGGGCTTGTAGCAGAGCATGTTGCTGCTGAGCTTGCTGAGCCTCCATCTGGGCACGGGCCTGAATGGCTTGATCGTGCTGAGCCTGCTGAGCCTGAGCTTGGGCTTGCTGGTTGCCCTGCTGCTGACCCAGCAGCGGCTGCAGCGCCTGAGCATGATGTTGCTGCTGGAGATGTTGTTGCTGACCAGCCGTGGACTGCGCCTGAGCCCCTTGCTGCTGAACCGGGCTCTGAGCATGGGTCGATGCATTGCCAGAGAACTGCTGATGCATGTGCTGACCCTGTCCTTGGAACTGGTACATCATCTGCTGTTGCTGCTGCATGAAGCTGGCCAAGAGAGCTTGCTGGTGCTGCTGTTGCTGGTCCATTTCCTCCTGACGCTTCAGCAACATCGAGAAGCAGTCGGCCATCGTGGCGTTCTGGCTCGGTGTGTACCCTAGGCGAGAGGGAATCGAGCGTCTGGCTTCCGCAGCTGCCTGAGACGATGACGGGAGTGACGACCTGGACCTGGGCGGGTATTCGCCCGTTGGCTGGGGCTGTGGCGACGTAGGCGGAGGGTGCTGTGGGGGCGGGCAGGGCGGGCCCTCTGAGGGCGCCACTGGAGCCTGCACTTGGCCAGTCACAGCCGCCAAGTAACTCTGCCCATGGGTCCAGTGATGTCTCTGTTGAGGAGCACCGTCCATATTCACGTCGCCGTTGGTCGTCGCCTCCTGTTGTGCCGCAGCTCGTTGCGCTGCCAAGGTAGCCTCCTCCTCCTGGATGGCCTGCTCGATGTCCTGCACTGACTGGCGAGACTCTCCGACCAACTCGATCAACTCGTCCTCCTTTGTCTCCAGATCTCGTAGCTTGGATTGGAGGTCCTTTAGCTGCTCCTCGAAGCGAGACTGCCGCATGCGTGCGTCTGCTAGTTGCTGGCCTAGTGGTTTCAAGAGCGTGATGGAGTAGCTGATCATGGCCATCTCTTCCCGCTCCTGAGTCTCCTCTTTGCCTGCCCTCTTCGCCGCAACCACGAGGCGGGCCAGAGTTGTGAGGCGCTCTTTCGCTCTCTTGCTCCAGTTGGCACGGAGGTTCTCCTGAAGCGGGGGGGCCCATCGCTCCCATTCTGGATGGGCCTCGGCCGTCTCCTTGAGGGCAGGAGTGAGCTTGGCGACCACCTGCTGAGTCTCGCGGTCGATCGCCTGGGCCTCCTGCCACGGCGGCTTGTGCTTGTCCCTGTTTCGCTGGGCAGATCGGGCACGAGTTGGCGCATTGTAGGTAGTACCACATGCACAGTACCAAGACGCTGCACTGTTGAGCTGGCCGCAGCCGCAACGCCAACGCTGGTCGGCACGCCAGGCCATATACTGTTGATCTCGTCCTGCTTGGCTGAGGTTGCCCGCCGACGGGGCTGAATGATGTCGGGCCAACAGGCGCCGTGCCCTCCACACACGTAGAAGGGTCCTGGCGATGGACCTCTTCTTTCGGGCTCGGCGATGCCAGCTGGGCTCCGCTGGCTGGAAGGTATGCGTGACGGGCAACGGGGTGCCTCGCACGCGGGAAGAAAGGATAGTGGTCAGCCTACGTGAGATGCTGACGCACTGAAGGTCAGAAGACTTGCTGCGGGTCGGCCTCCCCAGGCGGACCCGTCAAGCCCAAACCTTCTCCTCCTCCTCCTCCTCCTCCTCCTCCTCCTCCTCCTCCTCCTCCTCATCCTCCTCATCCTCCTCATCCTCCTCCTATTTATGGTAGTGGTAGGGGGAAATGGGCCCATCAGGGAGGCCGAGGCGAGGAGGGGGTAGAGGGAGGAGAGGGGCCAGGAACATCCTCGGCCTCGGCTGCCGCATCGCCCAGGTCGCAAAAAGGGGAGGTGGGGGGCGGGGGAGGCTCTCGGGAGGCAAGAGTCGGGTCACACCCGCACGGCGCCGGAGTTGGGTCACATCCCCTGCTGTAGTTCGCAAGGCCGTTCGTTGCTCGCGCCCTCCCCCTCCTCCTCCTCCTCCTCCTCCTCCTCCGCCTCCTCCTCCTCCTCATCCTCCTCCGTAGCCATTTTGGCTCAAGCCATTTTGGCTCAAGGCCCATGGGCCCGAGCGATTCTTTCTCGGCGCCCATCCGCGTGCCCGCCCCCGTGTGAGGCCGCGGTGACATGAAAGCCGATGTGCGTCGCCTCCCGTGCGCGACCTCCTCGGCCTCGAGACGCAGGGCACGCGCGCGCCGTGTGGCCGTGCGCCAGGCGCAGGCTGGCGCCGTGCACCTGTTGTCTTTCCTCAAGCCCTCGCCGGTGCTGGAGTTCGAGGCCCTGACATGCCTCTCCGCGGCCGAGGGCGCGGAGCTCGTTCGGCATCGGCTGTGCACCGGACCTGTTCGACCCCTTCTTTGGAAGCCTCTGCAGGGAGATGCGGATCGTGGCCTTCTGCCCCCTCACTCTCCTCCTGGTGATGACGTTCGTCGAGCCGCGGACGGATGCCTACGAGGGCCTCCTGGGCTCCGACGGCGATCTTCTTCGGGCAGGCGCTGATGGCGACCGAGTGCCCCCTGTTCCTTGTCGTGGCGCTGCCGATGCCCTTCCGCGGCAAGTTCCTGGGCCCCGTGGACGTTTCTTCGACGATCGCACCGCCTGTGATGCTGTTCCTCGTGCTGCCGTTCCTGGTGGAGCCGTTCATGATCCTCGAGGGATCGCTGCTGTTCGCGAGCGTCGTGACGGCCTTCGCGCTGATGCAGATGGTGATCGAGAGTTGCCTGATCCTCAGGGCGGAGCTGACGGAGCACAGCCTCGCCCAGTTCCTGGGCCTTGCGGGCGCCTCTCGCACATCGTTGTCTTCACGCCGGTCGTGGACATGGCGGTCCTGCCTCCGGTGCCGGCGCGGGGCCGCGGGCTCGCATGTGGAATCCATGGCGCGGTCGACCGCACCGTCCCCGCGGACAGGGCCTCCGCCTTCCTGGGCCTTCACAGGCGCTACGTGCTGCTCGCCGCTCAGATCTCCCGCCTGAGGGCGCTGGCAGAGGCGGCCGAGAGAGGATGCATGAGCCTCGCGGTGATCCAGGAGGCCGTTTTCGACCACTGCGGCGAGGTGCCGATCGCTTCATCGTCTGGGCCGGCGACGGCGTCTTCTGCTTCTACACCGCCGTGCGCCGCCCTGCCCATAGAGCCCCTGGACCGACAAAGACCCTTGAGTGGGACGGAGTCGGGACAGTTGGGAGGCCAGTCTTCGGACGTGGGAGGTGCGAGCGGCGCGCGGCACATGGACGTCGGGACCGCGGATGCCTTCGGCGTCTTCGCACCAAGTACCCGCTGTGCAACCATTTCGCGGCGGGACTTGCCCCCCCCCAAAGGGGCCACCGGTTTCCCAGGAGGACCTCGTGGGCGACATGCAGCGCGGGCTGGCGGCGGTGATCGCGGATCATGTCGTTGCCGCCTCGGGCTTCGTCCTGTCCTCATCGCCGACGGCTTCGCGGAGGGACTGGCCCCCCTCAATCGGGCCGCCCCTTGCTTCGTGTACGACACCGCCCGCTTCGACCTCGTCGGCTCCCTGGCCCTCTGCAGCTAGCGATCGGGACGACGCGTTGGAGCGTGCTCAGGACATGTTGGCATACGGTGATGGAGTGTGCGCTCTGTGTGAGGCGGGCTGTTTTTGCAGATGGCACGACCCAGCCGACGACTGGGCGGACTGGGGATGCGATCTCCCTCCCATTCGCGCCCGCCTGAGAGCCACGAGATCGTGCGGTGACTTCGTCAGTGTGTTGTTCGTTCCTGAGCTGATGTCGGGCCACGCTTACTGTTAGCTGTCTGCCTTTCCTGTAGTCTTTTCGTTCGCTGCTTGCACGCCTCACCATCCGCTCTGTCAGGTAGTGCCGTGTGCTCGCTTCGCTTTGCCGCCATCGCGCATCAGTCTCGTTGGCCGCTCGCGAATCCTGGAGCCTTCGCATCGCGTGGCTCCTTGTCAGGCGGCCGCGCTCGCAGGTGCCGCTCGGCCTCCTCGTGCCGTCGACTGGCCGTATTCATCGTCCAGTAGCGCTTGCTAGTCTTTTCCGCCCGTCTCTGCATTTCGTTTTCCCCCGCTTGGCGCGCTCGAACTCGATTTGGTGGTGCCCTCCTCCTCCTCCTCCTCCTCCTCCTCCTCCTCCTCCTCCTCCTCCTCCTCTTGCGTCTTCAGCCGTTCGTTTTTCGATGGCCGGTCGCGCCAGTCCGCGCGGTGTCCCCGCGCGGTCCGTGGCCGTCTCGCAGCTTGGATCCACACGGGTTTCCGCTTTCTCTTTGCGCGGCGTTTTTCGCAGCGCGAGTCTGTGCTCAACGCTTTGATGCGCTCGTTTCTTCTTGGGAGCTGGGGTGCCGCCATTCTGCCGGTGCGCCGCGCCAGATGGCCGACGTTGCCGCGCACGGCGCGCGCACGGGGCGCGCAAGTGCCGCGCCCGGCAGCGCGCGCCCCGGGGATCCCCGGGGGCGGTTCTGAGGGCGCGCAAGCGCCAAGGGTGCTCTCCTTGGGGCTTAAGCCAGATACTTACAGATATCAGCGGCTCTTCTTGTTGCTGGACGTATCTGGCCCGGCCAGATACGTCCAGCAATTTCCCGAAGGGTTCGAAGTCTCCTCAACAGCGGGGTGCTCTTCAGGAGCAAGTGAACGAAAGTCAGAACCTGACCGGACCAGCCCACGGCCGAGGGCAGCCGCACAACACGACGACGACGACGACGACGACGACGACGACGACGACGACGACGAGGACGAGGACGAGGACGAGGACGAGGACGAGGACGAGGACGAGGAGGACGAGGACGACGAGAGGGCGGGGACGAGGACGACGAGAGGGCGGGGACGAGGAAAAACAAAATATAGAGGCGACGTGCACGAGTTAATTAATCTAGTCCCAGCCATCTCCGTGGGAGCTCCAAGCTGCTGCGAAACACGAAAAACGAGGAGCATCTGGTGGCGACATTGTTGACGCTTCGCGTATCCCCACCAGCCCATCCAGAAAGGATGCCCGTGAGAGCTGACGGGGAAAGGGAGGACGATACATATAGCCAAGCAACGCGGGCAACAATAGTGTCTCTCGAAAGAGGAGCGCTGACCGTAGGGTGCTTTCTCTTCCTTCTCCCTCTCTCTTTCGCTTCTTTCTTCCATCCTCCTCTCCTCCTCCTCGTCCTCGTTGCTCCTTCTTTTCGTCCTCCTCCTCCTGCTCCTCGCCCCGCCTGGGCGGGCGGAGCTGTCGGAACGCTATTGGGGCCATCTTGGAGGAGATCGATCAAAGAAGAGGGTGGGGTCAATTCGCGCCCCCCCCCCCCCCCCTCGGGAGCGCCTCAAGTCGCCTCTTGGGCCCCTCTTGGAGCGCTCTTGGAGCGCTCTTGGGCGCTCTTGGGGCCGTCTTGGGGCTCTCTTGGGCCCCTCTTGGGGCCCTCTTGGGCCATCTTGGAGCCATCTTGAGGCCTCGGATGGCCATCGGAAACGAAACGGCGAGAAGGCAACAATCATTGGTTTCCCTTGGGTTTTTGAAGGATTTTGGCCTCTTTGGGGGCCTCCTTGGGAAGCTCCGTGGCCACTTGGAGTCGTTTTGGGGCGGTGTTGGGGCCTCTTGGAGCATCTTCGGAGCAATCTTGAGACATCTTGGGCTATATTGACGCATCTTGGAGGTCACCTTGGGCTCTCCGAAGCCCTCTTGGCGCCGTCTTCGGCCATCTTGGACGTTCCAACTACCAGCGAAACCCCCCGTCCAGGTCCAGGGGAGGGGGTTAGGGGGAGGGGTAAACCCCTCCCCGAAGGGGAAGAAGGGAAGATGGAAGAGGAAACTCCCTAAACCACCTACGCCCAGAGGGCTGGTGGGATTACGACGTTGCTCAAGTTCGGTTTGGCTGGCGCGCTTGAGAAGGAGGCCCTGGGAAAGCGGAGGAGAGCGGCGACGGGCCCAGGGAAAGGGGGGGCGCAGGGAAAGGGGACGACAGAGACGACGACTAACGAATGACGGAGATGACGACTCGAACGGACAAGCCCCTCACACACGCCGACAGGGTCGGCGGAGTTCTCCACGGGGTGTCTGGCGTAACTTTTGGCGCGCCCACTGAAGCAACGGACGATTTGGTTCTCCACGGGGTGTCTGGCGCAAGCTATGCAGCGCCCCCTGAAGCCCCCTGAAGCAACGGTGTGGGTGTCTGGCGCAACCCATGGCGCACCTTTCTGAGGCAGCGGACGATTTGGTTGGCCCGTGGAGTGTCTGGCGCAACTTATGGCGCAACATATGGCACACCCACCGGGGGAATGGACGATTTGGTTGCCCGCGGGGTGTCTGGCGCAACACATGGCAGAACCTACGGGGCGACCTACGGCACACCCACTGATGCAACGGGCGTTTTGGTTGCCCGCGGGGTGTCTGGCGCAAGCTATGGTGCAATCTATGGCACACCCAGTGAGGCAACGGAGGATGTGGTTGCATGCGGGGTTTCTGGCGCAACCCATGGCGCAACATATGGCGCAATTTGTAGCACACCCACACAGGCAATGGATGATTTGATTGCCAGCTGGGTGTCTGGCGCAACCTATTGAGCAACTTGTGGCACACCCGCTGAGGCAACGTACGATCTGGTAGCCCTCGGGGCGTCTGGCGCAACCTATGGCGCAACCTTAGGCACACCCAGTCAGGTAACATACGTATTGGTTGCCCGGGGGGTGTCTGGCGCAACCCATGCCGTAAACAATTGCGCAACCGATGGCGCACACCCAGTGAGGCAGCGCACGTTTTGGTTGCCCGCGGGGTGTCCGGCGCAACTTATGAGGCAACATACGGTAAATTTTGTTTATGGATCTCTTGGCAGGGTGAAGCTCAGGTGTTTCGCCTCCCCCCGCTCCCAGCCAGGGGGAGGGGGGAAGAGGAGGGAATTTATGTGAGGAGAGAGGAGAAGAAGGGGATGAGAACAAAGGGGGGGGCAGGGAGAGGATGGGTGGAGCAGAGGGCAGTGGGGAGTGGGAGTGGAGAGGGGGAGGAAGCCAGAGGGGAGCGCGAGGTCGGGGAATTGGGGCGGGTTTGTGCCATGACGGTTTCTTTGGGGGGCGGGCAGATTGTCTCTCCAATCCCGGGCCGCAGGGGGGCCGCAGCGACCCCCGTGGCACCGTGGCACCGACCAGTCTGGTCGGTCGATGAGACTGCCCGCGCCAGGCACTACGCGAGCGGGCGAGGTTGGCAAGAAAGAAGAGGGTAGTATTCTCCTCCCCGTCTTCCTCGTCCCCTTCCTCCTCCTGCTCCTCGTCCCCACGTTTGCTTAGCAGTCGGTTCGGTGGGGCCACTGCCCAGTCGTTGCCCTTTTGCTTCCGACGACTAGCTCATGCAGGCAAGCAAGCAACGGCAGAACATGGAATGCTTGTCCATGGGAGCACTGCGCGGCGAAGCAATCCGCCCCAGAGCGTGCCGTGCACACGGCTCCTTTGAGCGCCGGGCCGCCGCTTTCTGAGTCTCTTCCTTCCTCGTCCCCCTCCTCATATTCGTTCTCCTCGGCCTCCTCCTCGTCATCGTCGTTGTGGTCGTCCTCTTCCAGCCCCTCGTCTCCTCCCATCCGTTGTGGTCGTCCTCCTCCAGCCCTTCGTCCTCATGCCTCCTCTTTCCTCTCTCCACGTCTTTCTCCTCCTCCGCCTCCTCCTCATCCTCCTCCTCCTCAGCGCGCGCGCCAGTTCGCCCGCGCCTCGCCCCCCGGCGGGGGGCCCACGCCGAAGGCGCATCGCGCGCCGCCGCGCAGGGGGGGAGGGGGGAGGAAAGAGGAGGCAGTGCCGGGGAAGGACCGGGGTCGAGGTCTTCGGGCGTTCTCTTTCGTGGGGCCTCCGGAGGCTTCTGGGGGCCTCCAAAGGCCTTCGAGGACCTCTGGGGGCCTCGGGGGTGAAGGCGGAAAATGGAGGGAGTGAGTGGAACGGAGGGCGGCGACGAGTGACGACGACGACGACGACGACGACGACGACGACGACGACGACGACGACGACGACGACGACGACGACGACGACGAGGAGAGAGCGGAGGGGAGAGCGCGGGGAAGAGCGCGGGGAAGAGGGGGGAGCGGGAGGAGGAGAGCGGAGGGAAGACCATATGGAATTTAGAGGAGGGGAGAGAAGGAGAGGGAGTGAGGGAGAGAAGGGAGGGGAGGGAGGGAGGGAAAGGGAGAGACGGAGGGAGATGGAGGAGGGAGGAGGAGTAGGGAGAGAGGGAAGGGCTGGAAGAGAGGGAAGGAAGGGGGGAGGCATAATGGCGGTTGGAATTACGGGTAATTCGTGAGTTGCTTGTAACTCATGGGCCCGATCCACATATAAATAATCAGTTCATGGGGCTGCGTTACAGGTAATTCATGGGCCGGAGTTGCAGGTAACTCGTGAGACGAGTTGCAAATAACTCACGAGGCTGAGTTACAGGTAATTCGTGGGTTGCATATAGGTCATGGCCGAGCTACAGGTGAGGGACCGAAATACAGGTGGTACATGAGTTACTTCTAATTCACGGGCCCATATACAGGTAACACATGAATTATATGTAACTCAGGGCCGGAATCCCAGGTCACTCGCGGGGCCGAGTTAATGTAAGTCATAAACTACTTGTAAAGGGGGGGTCGTACCTGGTTTGAATCCTTCGGAAACTCTGAAGGGGAATACACACCACTTCCTGTGTGTGTGCGTGCGCAGATACCACTGCCCATCTGTGGACACGCGCGGGGGTTTTCGGAACCTTATGACTGTGTCTTCCGCCAGCATTTCCATGAGGGCGTCGACTGCTTGGGGCGTGCGTCATCCAACTACCTGGGCAGGTGCATGTGGGATCTGGCCACCACTTGGTATTTGAGTGACAGGCGGGCAACCCCACGTGCTCTTCAACACGCTGCGAATGACATATACGATGTCCTGGCAAGCATACCGCCACCGCCGGGGCTGACGGGGCTGGAAATCATGTGCAAGGACCACATACCAGTCCCGCTGCCCAACATTCCAGTGTCACAGGAAAGCTTCCTTCGCGCCCTCCCAACACGGCATGACAACAACTGGATCGAGTGCCCCAACTGCAAGGTTTACGTCTCGCCGGGACGCCACCGGCTTGCGGCATGCACGAGATATTGGCAGCTGTTGGAGGTGGTGGACCTGCTGGAGGGCTGCAAGAGGCGGAGGATGGATGAGCCTGCCGCTGAGCTCCAGTTGCCCCATTGTTGGGCAACGTCCACGGTACACACGGAGAAGCTGCATGAGGACGCCGTGTGGCGACACTATCAGGCACACGTGGCAATATCATATGCGTTGGACCACTATGCGGCACAGAAAGGTCTCACCTTTCTGGACGACAAACGGCGATCTGCGATGACTGTCAGGAACCTGTTATGGCGGGCATCCACGGACGGACCAGCCACTTCACTCTGGACCAGGACCAACGGGACATGGAGCACCGACTGGGGCACACCCTGAAGTACCGCTGCGCGGCCTGTTGAAGAACTTATGGCACCTGTGAGGCCAGGCAGTCACCGATGCGGATGTACGAGAGCATTTGCAGCTCGAAGCGGTACCAGAGGTGCCAGTGGGCCTACTCCGCACGCCGCGCGCAGTCTACGACAACCGCTTCGACTGGCGCAATAAGTTCCGGTGGCGCATTTGCGACTGCTGCAGAGGGGATTACTTCCGGGGAGGTTTCTCTCCGGGGCAAGGTGACCGTCCTCCCGAGAGGTGCGGTTGCGCGTGCGCAGCCTGCTCGGTCCCCAAGTAGTTCGGACGCCCGGGGAGATGACCTGGGGCATAGATGACAGCATGACGCTCTGTGTGGACTGCACCTCCTACTGGCTGCAGGTGGATGACGACAGGGCACGGGAGCTATGCCGCATAAACGCCAGGGTAGGGCAAGGCGAACGGAACATGAGCTTCCTGCTGCCGAGCTGGGATCGGGGGGAGTCCATATGGGAGCAAGAGTCTGTTCGATGTAGGCACCTCGCCATCGAAGTCACGTATCCGACTGAGCAGGAGGCCATGGGGCAGGTGTTGGAGCGCCGTCGCTCACTTTGCCCACCCTCCACATATGGGGAGCAAATGCTGCCGGAGGTCCTCGAGGTGGAGGCAGGAGACCTCCGACCGGCACGCATACTTTCCCGGGAGTTCTGGTTTAGGGACCTCGCTGCGGCCAGAGGTAATGCCCCCATGCGACTGGTGGGGGGCTTTGATGTGCCGCAGCCCCTACACTTCCACCCGGCGGATTTGGAGCAGTCGGATCGGCCGAGCTTTGCGGTCCTGGACGGGTATCACCGCTGTGAGGAGTGCCTCTCCTGGAGGACTTGCCGCTTGCCCATGCGTGCCTTTTGCTGTCGCGACTGGATGCGCTGGATGCCGGCTTATCGCGCGCACCGAGCATGGGGTTCGACCGATGCCCGACGAGGCGAGACGGGAAGGGGGTTCCAGACTATCGAGGTCACTGGACGCCGACATTGAGGAACTAAGGGGCATTGTCGTCGCCCTGGTCCAAAGGCGGGGGTACGCGGGGCGCTGGCGCGCCATTGTCGACCAGGGCAAACATGCGGTCCCAGACAGGGGCAGCCCAGCAGCATACGTTCGTGCATTCCCTAAACACTACCTGCAGATCTTCATGCTGCAAGGATATGCGAATGAGGTCCGGGCGGTCAATCTTATGCACGACCAAGACCTGCCGGATAGGGGTGGATGGGACTTACGGGAGGAGGATGAGCTACAGGACTCGCCCTGGTTTCTATCTCTACAGAGCGCGGCCTCGCAGGCTCACCAGGCGGAGCTGGCAGCGCCTTGGACCCCGTCTCTGCGCCCCGCCCAGGGTTAGGGGCGTTGCGACCACAGCTGTTTGGCTTAGGCCTTGGTGGGAGACGGCATGGTTTTCTTCGATTCTCCGTGGGGGTAGAACCACGCTATGTCCCCAAGCCGTAGGCATGTGAAGACACCACGCATCTCGTAGAGATACGGCGGCCGTTTGGGAGCGGCCCCTCCGTTGCATCACCTGCAGATACATCATGTGGTGTACCCGGTCACGCCGAAATAATGCACAATACACAAACATGTGATACGACATATGCAACCACATTGATATAGTAATACCAGTGTAGTAAGTTAGCATGAAAATTACCAATTGAGCCACACTGCTGGGTCATGGTCGCGTGCGTCGGTGGTGTAGTACACGTTTCTGGGTCATTGTCCTGTGTGTCGGTGGTGTAGTACACGTCGTCGTATACGTGCCATTGCCCACACCATGTTGGCCCATGTTGTGGTCGTCCGTCGGGTCAGGTCCTCGGTCGGCCAGCCAAGCCGTCGCGTGAGGTCCGCCGTCGGTGTTGTGATGCCTTGCCGGAGGTCGGCGTTGGCTTTGCATACCCAGTACATGTGGTCGAGCGTCGGGACGTGCTGTTCCCCGCAGTGGTCGCAAGTGGTCGAGACCTCCTCCCCCTGGTTGGACTCCAGTAGTGCGTCGGAGACCACGCAACCGCATAGCACTGCGGCGACGTGGGAGGCGAGTGTCGGGTGGTTTTTCCGTGCCTCCTGCGCCGCGCGGACGGCGACTGCTGGGAAGGGCACTCCAGCTGCCATGGGGCTCTCCCGTCGGTTCCGGCCCTGGAGGATGGCCCATTCGCGGGGTCGGAGTACCAGTCGTAGTTCGTGTAGTTGTCGGTCTGCTCTGTCGGTGAGGCGCACCTCCCCCAGTCGTGCTGCTGGCGTGGTCTGCGTCGCGCTGCTGCGTCGTGCTGCTGCTGCTGCGTCGTCGTGCTGCTGCTGCTGCTGCTGCGTCGTGCTGCTGCTTCGCGTTGTTGCTGATGCGTCGTGCGGTTGTGGTTGTTCGTGCTGCGTCGTTGGTCTGCTCTCTGCTTGTGTCGCAGTCGTGCTGGTGCCGTTCTGGGCGTCGTTGTTTGTTGCGCTCTGGTCGGGTTTCCGTTTGCCGTAGCGTGCTGCCCGCAACCAGGAGCATCCAGCAGTAGGTTGTGGTGCGTCGAACTGCACATCCATTGTTACCAGCTTGTGGTCTGAAAGCGTATGGGTATTCGCAATTGCCCTCGTAGTCGTCATAGTTGTTGTAACCATGAAATGATCGATCTCCCTGTTGGAACCCCACCGCGTCGACTCGCTCGGGCCTTGTACCCGGAGCCCCAACATCCGCGCATTCTCGGTAATGATGGGGTCTCTGGGCGTGGTGTTGTAGTCCCCTGCTATCAACAGAGGGATCCGCCCTCCCATCGCAGCGTGTTGCTCAGCCAACCACTGTAGCAAACCATTCCGTGCATCGTCGTCGTCGGCCGCCCGCAAATGTACCACAGCCAACAGTGCTGTGCGATAAGCGGCGTGAACGTGAAAAATTGCAGCCTCCCCTCCAGCCTCGACACCGCCAGTCCCAGTGCGCCGTTCCCGAGCAACCCGGGTGACCCTGACACGGCCCGTCGTTAGCACGCAGATGCCTCCACATGCTTCCCGTCTTCGTCCACTCCTCCCAGTCCCCACCACATGGTCGTCACAAGAGGTCCCTGTTGTCCATGCGTAACCGTGGTTCGCGGCGAGCCTGCTTACCCTGCCCAAATCTGTATGTCGACACCCGTGCTCTTGCACAGCGAGTAACTCCAAACCAATTCTTCCGCCGTAGCAAGGAGATCCTTACCGTGTAAAGTCCACGAAGCAATATTGATTGCCCCCATCGTAACTGGTAGCCGTGTTCGCGCCACCCCTTCCGTCAAAAGATGGCAATTGGCATCCCGCAGAAGGGGGGAGGAGGAGGA